ACCTTCATGACTAGAGGAAAAAGGATCAATAGATAAACAGACACAGAATGATGTGGATACAGGAGCTCATTTTACAGATATTATCATAAAACATGATAAAAATAATTCTCAAAAATGATTTTCTCTGCCATTGGAATAATTTTTATTGTATATAGTCAGCAAAATTTCTGTAAATTACTATTGTATAGTTTGTGTAAATGTAAATGTACATGAATTTTAAAATATTTGCAATTTTTTTAATTTAGCAAAATGTATATAACTATGCTTTAAAAAAAAGACAGGTGAAAGCCTGCCTATGAGGTGTTTACTTGTTGTTTGGCAATAAAAACAAGTAAAAAATTGATAGGCAATATCTCAGGTGATAAGTGTACTGAAGAAGTATAAGGTAGGGCTAGGGCATAAATGTCATTTAAAATGGAATAGCCAACAAAAGCCTCTTTTATACAGTGACATTTTAGAAGAGATATGAACTAATTTGGGGAATGAATAGAGGAAATGAATTTTCCAGCAGAAGAAATAGCAAATTCCAATCTATTGTGGAAGAGACATGTTTGTTGTATTTGGGAAAACTTCAAGGAGATTAATATGGACAGAGAAGGCAAGAAGTGGATCAAAATCAGTTAGGTCACAGAAAAAGGGCATGCAGATGATTAAAGCTCTGTAGGTCAAGCATGGCCTTTGAATTAGGATGAATGTCTGTGAATGAATACATGTTCTCATTTATATTTTGGAAGTGAGACAAAGATTGAAGCATAGATACCTGTACTTTGACCTTACAGAAAACTGTAGAGCCTTAATACTCTTATGTTGACTTTTTCTGTCTGTTCGTTCTTTATTTCACTTTCTTCCAACCCAGGACTTCATCATTCAATACATATTGTAATAACTGAGTCAACTCCAGTGAACCCTGAGTTTTAGAATCTCTACTCAGTAAAATATTAATCCTAGTAATTGATGAATTTTTCTACACTGCAGTTCTACCAAGAAAACTAATCTAAAAGAAAAAATGTTTCTTTTATGTTTTCTAAATGTGCAGCACAACATTGCTTAGCAACAATTTTTCTTTTATTTAGTTTTATAGTCTCATTCTTTCTTTCCAATAAAATTTCCAAAGATATTATTAGTTTTCTAAAGCATCCAACTCATCTGATCCACTAGTAAATCCCAGAAGGAAAAAATAACTCTACATATTTTGAAAAAGAAAAAATAAGCCCATTTTGCATAGCCTCTTTAAACTTCCCTCTCTCACTCCCCTCTAAGTTACTATACATTTAATTAAATTTCTAACTTTCTCCAACATCTCAATCCTTGAGGTGATTCTCAGGTTTTTCAAAAATGTTTTCTTACTGTTATCTGTTTTACATTTCCTCCTCTATTCTTAAAGAGTTGTAAAATTAATACTCTTTTTCCAATGAAGATTTTTGTGGTTAAAAGGATAATAAAATAATGTTTGCATTTGGGGCATTTTTATTTACAACATATTTTTGTATATTCTCATTTAGTTGAATTTTAACTATTATTATAATACCTTAAATATAAGAATATTTAATAAGAGAGATTCAGCAACTGCCAAGTTCACAGCCACATTTGTTTATGGAAATGAAGATTTCCTTCGTAATATTTCAACTTCTTGGCTTCTGCAATATACAAACTGCTTAGAAATACATCTCTTCTCTGCTCATCTTTACTATCACAAATATTTTCATGAATTTTCTATTTTCATCGACATATTACATCAGTGCTAACCAGGGCATCGCTCCTCAGCTTATTTTCTTCTGATTCTATGCATCCCTCCTGTGTGATCTATTCTAATTCATAGTCTTGGTTATAATTAAGAGGCTTGTAAGTCCCCAATCTGCAGCTCCAGTGTGGATCTTCATCTCCCAATTTTAGTCTCATGTAATTAGTCTTATCCTGAATTTCTCTATTTCTTTGAGCCTCTAATCTTGTTTGACTCTCAAATTATATGAAAAACTCCTTAAGAGTATGAGTAAAGCTAGTCACATGGCATCTCCAGAATAAAGGGGATTCTGTCTTATTTAGTAGACAGTCACATGTTGTCCCATATAGATCAATAGGAGTATTTTTCATTTTAGTAATTCAAATAGGAATACAACATAAATTTTATTAGTTAAATAAATAAACACCACATATTTTGGTAACAAACTGTCCCATGCTTTCTTCATGGGAGATTTGGAGAAAAAGGATGAGGAGGAAGAGGAGGAGGAGGAGGAGGAGGAGGAGACGCAGAAAATGGAGGAAGAGGAGCACAGAGAAGAAGACGAGAAGGAGGAGGAGGGGGAGAAGCAGAAGAAGGTGAAGAAAAAGGATAAAAGCCCAGCATAAGTATCACTGTAAATGCCCATTCATGGGCTGCATCCCTAAGCAACCAGTGTATTGCCACAACTGTGATAAGACAGTAGCTCTTTGTTGATATTTCCCTTGTAACTGAAAGGCATGGCCTTTTCAAAGAACCCAATGTTTGCTTATAGAGGACAATATATCTGTTTTACTTAATTATAAAATATGAAGTCATGTTCTGGCCCATCAGTCTTCTGAAATGGCCTACCGTTCCTGGAAGGTTAAGACTATAACTAGCAGGAGAAGGTCACTACTGTGTTTCTAGTCCACCATGCTTGCTCCACCTGTCATACATAATCCCCACACTTCCTAACTTGGAGAAGCAGAAAATCATGGGTGAAATAATGCCTATATTTTGGTGTTCCAACATAAAATGTATATCACTTAGATTTAATTGTAGTTTTTAAATCAGTATATTTACAACTATCTCTATTTCTTAATTGTAGTTTGCTGTTTGGTAGTGCTTTTGGACTATTTACTTTTTGCTTCCTAGAACATGAATATACTAGATCCACTAGAACTGGGCCTAATATTGTTAGGTCAACAAACAAGTGAAGTAAACCTCAGGTAAGAAATGACAGGAGAATGAAAGGAAAAGAAGAAAGGAAGGAAACCATTTGACATTTTGCAATTAATTAAAGCAGGGTATATTTTTTCAAACCAGACATAGTTCAGTAGTTACTGAACCATGAGATGGTACAGTGGCTCATGCTTGTAATCCCAGCACTTTGAAAGCCCTAGGCACCAGGATCACTTGAGGTCAAAAGTTCAAGAACAGTATTGGCAAAATGGTGAGACCCCATCTCTACAAAAAATAAAAATTAAGCAGGTGCAGTGGTGCAAACCTATAGCTCTAGCTACTGAAAGGAGGTTTGCTTGAGCCCTGTAGTTCCAGACTGCAGTAGCTCCGATTGCACCACTGCACTCCAGCCTGGGTAATGAATGCAGTACATGGACCTATTAAAAAAAAAAAAAAGTCACTGAATTCTATGTAACTCTTTTCCATTAAGTATGTAAAGAGAATAGGTTTGTTTTATGCCTAGAAGAGAACTTTTATCTACGATGCTTAGAAATTCCATGCCAAAGAACAAGAATAGTTTAAATCTAATTTACTTGAATAATATATTTGCCTAAATAAATAATTTATACTTTTGTATATCACCTAGAGAATACCATAATTTCTGATAGGACTATTCAAATTAGCATAAATGATTTATCTAATAAACATCTCCTTTAAAAATCACACACAAATTTATTTTATTTTATTTTCTTATTTTACGTTAAGTTCTGGAATACATGTGCAAAACATGCAGATTTGTTGCACAGGTAAACATATGCAATGATGGTTTGCTGCACCTATCAACCCATAATCTAGGTTCTAAACCCCACATGCATTAGCTATTTGCCCTGATGTTCTCCCTCCCTCCTGCCCTCAACCACAGGCCGTGGTGGGTGTTGGTCCCTTTCCTGAATCATACACAAATTAAAAACATAATTTCAATTAGTGTGATCAACCTAAAGATAATGCATTTACAATTCTGTTATGTAGTTTTCCAGTCCTTAAAGTACACAAACAGTCTCCTGGAGATATTCTTAAAATTCAGTTTCCAGGTGTACACCACAAGATTCTAACTCAGTAAGTTTGGAAAGGTAGACTAATAATCTGGATTTCAACAGGCACCAGCTGATGCTGATTGCGATGGTCGTATGTGGCACAATCTGAGGAACAGCGGACTGGGCTGTATAACTTATCTGAACTTTAAAAATGAGTTTTTAATACTCACTTCTTAGCACTTCGAATTATTCAACCAGTAGCAAATAGGTGAATTTTTATACATGTTTGCCTATGAATTAAATTAGAATTCTGTTTTTCTCTTTCTGTATAATACAGTTATTTCAACAAATGGCCTCTATAAAGACATATCAGATCCTGAAAACTCCAGGGAAGTAAACTCAAATTTCTAAACATGATAAATCAGTCTTATGTGAGAGATATATGACCAAGCACCTATAATCTTTTGACATTAAATATGAGAATCCTTTTATCACATGGTATCCAAAAAATGACTGAGTTTTGACAAATTTTTTTTTCACTTTATTACATAAAATATTTTAAGTCAATATAAGAATTTAAGAATACAAGATAAATAATGATTTGTAGTAAAACTTTTGAAGTATAGAATGACTCCAATTTTATTATGCCAATTATCACTATTCACTAGAAAATGTATAAAATTTTGATAACATGGTTAGTATTATTTTTGACATAGCACTGTTCCACCTTGAACATATATTTGTTGAAAAGTAGTTGATGGTATTCTACCAAAACACCTTTATCACTGTAATCATTTCTATACCTGGTTTCCTCCACCATGCTTTTCTGTTGTCTGACTCACTGATGCCTATACTAACATCACACGCCTGGATTAACATGTGATGGGTCCATTTGCTTTCTGTTTTCTTTGTCGTCACAATCATCTATTGTAAAATCACCTGGTTAAGTTTATTTTTAGAATTTGTAGAGACAGATTTTGGGCATTACTTTCCTTTCCATCATACGATCTCATAAGTGATGTTATTTGGAAAAACAAAAGGGAGATTCCAATGTGTTTAAATACATCAGCCTTCTATGAAAGGATATCTCTTGAGGCTTCACCTCAGCTTCACTGACTTCTTGACTCTCCTCTTGAGTAAAAGGTAATATGTTCAAGTACAATCTAATATAATGTCTTAGCAAAAGCTATTGTTTGCTAAAATCAATTGCAACCCACTTATGAAAATGTGTATTATCTATTGATAACTTCTTATAAAAAAATAATGATCTTTTACTGGGATCTGAAGATGAGTTCCAGATATCAATTCCTATGAATTAACACCAGCAATCAACATGCAAAATAAATAATGTGGAATATGGTAATGTATTACATCCTTTCTGATGGTGGGACCTCAATGAACTCTTTTTATTTCCTTGCCTAGATATTTGATACCTACTTTCTTAATTATTACTTTTACATTTAACTTAAAGTAGAAGTTCAAATTTTACAAGAAGATAATGATACATTCTCTCTTTGCAAATGTATTATCATAAAAGTTTATTTTTTTAATTTACTTTCTTCTGAATAGTAAACTATTTTATTACTTTTTTATTGACCTTTCCATCATTGAAAACAGTTCTGTTATAATGCAAAACATATGCTGTATAACAATTAGTCTTTTCAATCTTACTAATTTATTTAACCCATTTTCATTCATAAGTGTTATGGCAGAAAAGAGTTTACTGTTCCAAATTTTTACTATTGTGTTACTTGGTAAAATATGTTTTTCAAAACCATTAATTACGTATGGATTACCTATGTTTATTTATCTATCAGTGTATGTGTTAGTAAAAGAAGACACCTTTCTCACAACAACGCTAACATTTTCATGCCTTTTGTATCATAAAGAGTTGTAGTAGGATTTACCTATTAGATAATAGAAAAACTTCAAGAATTACATAATTTTTATAGTTAGTTCTACAGTAGAAGTTTTCATTGAAATGAGTGAAGCAAAATGAATGAATAAATAATAAAATAAATGCCAAAAATCATGAATTCTGCTTTCTATGATAGAGATGTAGGGCTGTTTAAGAGCAGGACATTTTATTATAATTAGATGAAAAATGTTACTGTAATGTCCTATCGCAAGTGACAGGTAAGAGAGATTAGAAAAAAAAATTTAATTACCTATTAATGAATTATTTCACAGCTGCAATTAACAAGTAAAAATGCATGTAATTGTAAGTCTTGTGGTAATTGTATTTTCCAATGGAAATGCTTTTATTTACATGTTTGTAATTTAAAAATAAGTAATCTGCTTTACTTTTTTGTATCAGCAAAGGAACTGGATTCATTTGCTTATGCATAATTATAAAAACATACCAGAGTCCCAGATGAGGCTTTGTTGAATAATATTATTTGAAATATTAGTCTTCACAAATTCAACTTCTCAAAGTAGCTACAAACATTTTCCCTTTTCAAACACATTCATTTTGTTTTTCTGTAACCAATGTCATTCATGTTCTAATCTCAGGGTTAAACCAGCTATTCTCTAATAGAAACCTGGCTCACATTCGCTGACTTTATTATAAAGCAAGTCTTCATTGCTTGTCATTCTGTCTTCTAAATATCCACTTATAAACCTTAATTAGCATTCTTAATGTCAATATCTAAGTCCCCTGCAATGTCACAACAACCTTAGTGGTCATGTTTTCTCCAATTATGTCCTCCCTATATGCTGAACTGTTTGCACTTTCAATATGCTTTCCTCTCTTTTATTACTTTGCAGTATCCCAACACTTCCATTTTCTCATTCCATATAACCCAACTCAAGCTTGTCTTTCTTCATTACCTTCTTATTCCCATTCTCTTGGTCTATTTAAGACGTCCATTTGTGTGTTTCTTTAGCATATTAATATCTCCAAATCAGAGCACACACCTTTACTTATCAATTCATGAGGTCCTGCCCAGGGCTCACACCTGTAATCTGAACATTTTGAAAGGCCAAGGCAGGAATATTGCTAGAGCCCAGGAGTTTGAGAAAAGCCTGGGCAATATAGTGAGACTAAAAACATTCTCTCCTAAAAGAAAAAAGAAAGAAAGAAAGAAAGAAAATATCTGGGCATGGTGCCACATACTTTCAGATCCAGCTACAAGTGGAACTAGGGAGGCTAAGGTGGGAGGATGGCTTGAGCCCAGGTGATCCAGGCTGCAACAATCTATGCTCATGCCACTGCACTCTGGCCTGGTAAACAGAGCATGTCTTCCAGTGCTTTGAAACATAGTGCGACCAATAGTAGTTTGTTGAATGAATGCAAGAAAGAATGTGATTACTGATTTTTCACGTATCATTTTATAGGACTCAGCCAACTATGAAGTTTCTTGTCTTTGCTTTCATCTTGGCTCTCATAGTCTCCATGGCTGTAAGTATATCTGGAAATTTTAAAGAATACATTCTTGGTACTTATCCCAAGGGTCTGTCTAATTCCTTTTGTTCTGGGATACACTCATGTTGACTTCAATACAGTTTGTAAGCTTAAATATTTCCATATAAAAAATTCTTTGAATTAACCTATGTAAGTTCTTTAAGGACTTATAAAAGATGTATATTACAGACCTACACTCAAGTACAATTACTTTAATGTAAAAGTAAAAGAAAATTAAGTGAGCTTCATAAATATTTGGGACTGAGAACTGTGAAAATGTCTTTATAAAAAGCTCTAGACCATCTGAAGTTAGAAATCTTAGAAAAGAATAAGGTGCACAAAATGGAACCCAAGTATTAGAGGGTGTCAGAATAGGAATTTTCAATTCATTTCTTGCACAACATAACTGTTAAAGTTAGCATGCAATTATTTAATTCTTTCTAAAATAAAGTTGCCTACTTTTTTTTTACCATATAACAGATCTCTATATTTATTAAGTGTCATGAGTTCCCAGCTTATGTTGTCATTTACTATTGTATATTACTAGGTAAAGCACTTGATCTCTCTGGAGCTCTTTCTACTTCTCTGCTTCCACCTCTTCTTCCTCTTTCTATGAAGTTAATAGAGAATTGGTCACAAAAGAATAATAATACTTCAACTTATTCACTAAATTATAAAGAACATTTCAAAAGCAGAATTGGTTATGAGATCACAGTTTATCACATTATTTTATTATAAAAGGATAGAAGTAGAAAACATGAACATATAAGAAGAACATAGAAAAGTATAATACCTGCTTCTATTAGCAAATAAAATATTTGCAGGTTGGTAGCTTTTGAGCTAAATAGAACATATTCATATAAAAAACAATCCAGTGTTTCATTTTTCAGTTTCCACTCTCTTATTTGCTAGTAATAGACATTTCCTGCATTTCATAACAAAGATGTATAAACCAAAATTAATTGATATTTGATTATAGCACATTACTTATAGAGAAGGTTATCCTTCACTCATTTTAAAGGTGTCATAAAGCTAAAATAACTAACTTAGTGTGTCATCAACCCAAGAATGCCTCCATTCTGTTTAATCACAATTGTGGCTAGGTCAATATTTATACTTACTCTTGAAATATAAAATTAAAATATTAATTATTTTCTAATTTTCTTTTTTTCCAAGGGAGCTGATTCACATGAAGAGGTAAGACATTTCCATTTACTGGAAAACTTGATAATCAAACATATATAGAATTTTTAATCTTTTCTTTTCATTTCACAGAAACATTATGGGTATAGAAGAAAACACCATGTAAGTGTTCTTCTTATAATATACACTCTGAATAAGTTTTCTTCTCTGATTATTTATTCTCCTAAAAGAATCGACAGTTGTCCCTCAAAAATTTGGATATCATTAATTGCTAAAGTGTACATTGATTTCATTTATTTATGATGCAAAGGCTAAAAGTCACAAATATCTTATGTCCTAACAGCATTTTAGCAGAAATTCAGTTCCACGCTGAATAAGTCAATTGTCACTTATTCTCTGAGAATTTAAGTATCTTTGTCCTGTAAATAATTACACTTACCTAAAGAATAGTTGAAATCCTAATTATATGAAGTATTACATATGCCTAATGAAGCATAGAAGCAACTTATTTAATATGGTTAATTTCTACCTGAATTTTTGAGGATGATAAACCCATTAAATTAAACTATGCTAAATTAGAAAGAAAATTTTATTTATTTAATATTTTTCTAAATGTTTGTATATAAAATCTCATATTATTTTGGCCTGTAATATCAACATAAATAGGGGTTCAAAAATTCTCCTCAATAGTATAGAAGTACATATGCTAAAAAAGCACCAAGTAAGAATATACATAAAAATGGATGAGGACCATTTTTGATAACAGTAGTGGGTGTGAAATGTAGTAATTGTAAAGGAAAGTAAGCTCGCTAAAAGAGGGAGATGAAGAAGCACCACCTAAGTTGGAAACAGTAACTTAGTTTCCATAATACTCAATAGTGAGCAAAATAGTAGCTTGGAGGAAATATATTAAAGAAGATTTAAAGCATTTATAGAGATTACCTATAATCAGCGTTTCTACATGTGATGTTGTCACAAAAATGTTAACGCACAGTAAATACTTTACCATTTCACCTGCTTTTAAATATTTTTCTGACAAAAAAGAAAAATCTAACTAAAAGTTTGAAAACATTTATGTAGATAATATACAAGGTCCTAACAACTTTAACATCTAAGATTTTAATGATAGTTTTGGGGAAATACTTGCACTGTCGTCGTCTCTATTCTCTGCAATTTGCTCTCTCCTTTTTTGTGTATGCAGGAAAAGCATCGTTCATATCGAGGATTTCCATCAGATGAATACAGTTCCTATCCGTATTACCATTGATATCCTCAGTAACCATGGGGCATGATTATAGAGGTAAGCTGACTCTAGTTACTTTTCTTTGTAGGACTATCAACCTCAACAGTTAAAACAAGAAAAAACAAAAATAATGCCATAAAGCCAACCACCATTCCTGTTTAAGAAATGTAGTAAGGTTTAGCTCCTTGAAGTGTATTGATTTATATAAATGCTTCTGAGGCTGTAGCTGTCCGGCATTATTTCTTAGGTCTCTATTCTATTCCATTGGTCTGTTTGTCTGTTTTGGTGCCAGTACCATGCTGTTTTGGTAACTGCAGCCTTGTAGTACAGTTTGAAGTCAGGTAGAGTGATGCCTCCAGCTTTGTTCTTTTTGCTTAGGATTACCTTGGCTACATGGGTGCATCTTTGGATCCATATAAAAATTTGTTTTGTTTTGTTTTGTTTTGTTTTGTTTTTTTGAGACCGAGTTTTGCTCTTGTTACCCAGGCTGGAGTGCAATGGTGCGATCTTGGCTTACCGCAACCTCCGCCTCCTGGGTTCAAGCAATTCTCCTGCCTCAGCCTCCTGAGTAGCTGGGGTTACAGGCATGCACCACCATGCCCAGCTAATTTTTTTTTTTTTTTTTAGTAGAGACGGGGTTTCACCATGTTCACCAGGATGGTCTCAATCTCTTGACCTCATGATCCACCCACCTCGGCCTCCCAAAGTGCTGGGATTACAGGCTTGAGCCTCCGCACCCAGCCCACATAAAATTTTAAGTAGTTTTTCTATTTTGGTGAATTTTGTCAATGGTAGTTTGATGGGAATAGCATTGAATTCATAAATTACTTTGGGCAGTATGGCTGTTTTCATGATATTGATTCTTCTTATCCATGTGAATGAAATGTTTTTTCATTTGTTTGTATTCTCTCTTATTTTCTCGAGCAGTAGTTTGTAGTTCTCCATCAAGAGGTCCTTTGTTAGCTGTATTCCTAGGTATCTTATTCTCCTTGTAGCGACTGTGATTGGGAGTCCCTTCATGATTTGGCTCTCTGCTTGCCATCTGATATTCAACAACCCTGGCAAAAACAAGTAATGGGGAAAGAATCTTCAATTCAACAAATAATGCTGAGAAAACTGTCTAGCCATATGCAGAAAACTGAAACTGGACCCCTTCCATACCCCTTATACAAAAATTAAGTCACGATGGCTTAAAAACATAAATGTGAAACCCCAAACCATAAAAACCTGAGAAGAAAACTTAGTTGGCACCATTCAGGACATAAGCATGGGCAAAAACTTCATGAAGAAAATACCAAAAGCAATGGCAAACAAAAGCTGAAATTGACAAATGGAATTTGGTTAAACTAAAGAATGGGTATATACCCGAAGGAATATAAATCATTCTTCTGTAAAGACATATGCACACGTATGTTTATTGCAGTATCATTTACAATAGCAAAGGCTTGGAACCAATCCAAATACCCATGAATGATGTAATGGATAAAGAAAATGTGGTGCATATACACAATGGAATAGTATGCAGCTATAAAAAGGAATGAGATCCTGTCATTTGCAGGGTCATGGATGAAGCTGGAAGCTATCATTCTCAGCAAACCACAGGAACAGAAAACCAAACAGCATGTTGTCTCACTCACAATTGGGAGTTGAACAGTGAGAACACATGGACATAGGGAGGGGAACAACACACACCAGAGACAGAGAGTAGGGAATGAGAGAAAGTAACTTAGAGAAGGCAAACGACTATGGTGCACGTATACCTATGTAACAAACCTGCACGTTCTGCACATGTATCCCAGAACTTAAAGTAAAATAAAAAACAAAATAAAATACCCTCTAAGGGAAAGCTTCTCTTCACTACTGTTAAGAGACTGAGTTTGGGGTAAAGAAACTCCTACGTTTGTATCCTGACCCTGACAACTAAGTTTCATGACCTTGAACTATTTCTAATCTACTCCAAACCTCAGTTTTCTAGTCGACAAATAGCTATAATAATACTTAAGCTCTTTATAGAATTGATAAAAATATTGAGCAACATTATTTAGAAACCCTTGATCAGGAAGGTATATGATTGTGGCCACAGGCGTCTCTGCCACTAAATCTGTACCTGATGTTATTTGAAGTTTTCTATCCTCAATTATAATCTTTGCAGAAGTTGCACAACCGCCATCTAGGAACTCATGAGAAATTGACACTTTATGCCTACGTAGCTCTAATGAGCAATTGCTATAGGAGTTACTAATGTAATATCAACAAGGAGATGGGAATTTTCAAGGAAATAGGACATGGGAAATCGTGACAATTTCCCTTTTAGAAAGTCAGTTTTATGTGTCTATATTCACAGCATATATGATTTCAAATATTTTAAATGTATAGGGACATTTTATTCCTTTTGAATTCCTGCTCTTTGTGATATGGGGAAAAAGCCTGAATTGATTAGATAATTGCTGATGACATTTAAGAAAGGATATATTTAAAATATTATTTGGTGAAAAGAGATGAAATGTATAGGCAATATTTAAGTGATAGAATAAAATAAGATGATGATGGAAAACCTCAAAAAATTTAAATTTAAATTGCAGATGCTGAATGATAATTCTTACTTATTCTGACACCCACTTAATGAGTATTTAATTGTCTACTCTGTCTCAAATATTATTTTGGTCCCTGAATTATAATAAATTAAACTATCTATAAATAGACAGTACCAGGAAGAGTATAAATTTATTTACAAGAGTGTCAATTTTGGAGATAAAGTATTATTTTCTCTTTTTTTCCAGGTTTGACTGGCAAATTCACTTTTCACACCTGTGTTCTCACTTGTCTTGAAGAATTATCAGAAGGCAATGCAGAATAAAAGAATGACCATGATTTAGTGCATTCTGTGTTTTATGATACTTACCTTTCAAATTATCATTTGATTATATACTTGAAATTTAAACTGTTAATCTTTTCTCATTGCTGTTTCTTAGTAAATTAAATTTATTCTTCTCTAAAAACAATAAATTTCAAGCACAGTATAATGTGTACCCTATTTCTCTTTTTTATATTACATACGTAAAGAATTCTTTCTTTACTTCACTTTCCCAGTTTGAGTAGCAATTATGAATTTAGCATGTTATATTTATTCATTTTATCTTACAAACACATGGTCCTCAATCACATCTCGATTACTAGACCTATTGATGACAACATTTGATTTGTCTCCAGTGTCCTTTGCCACATCACATTTCTTAGCATTCTCACATTTCTTATCTCAGGCCCTTTAGGCCAGAAGATAACCCCCGTGTCACTCCACAACAGTGCACAGGCACTCAGAACACAAACTATTTAATGCTCTCTATTGGTTTGTCAATATATCCATTGAACAAAAATGTATTGAGTGATCCCAGCTGTCAGACACTGTTCTAGATGCTTAAGTCACAGAAAGAGTCAAAAGCCCTGCTGTCAGAGCTTTTACATGTAGTTGGGAGATGAAGACAAAAAATAAACAAATAACACATGACTCTGGCAATAATAAGTGTGCTAAGGAAGTATAAGGCAAGACTCAGATATAGAGACAGCCTCAAGTAGGAGAGTCAAGGATAACCCCTCTGGTAGAATGACATTTTAGAAAAGATATAAATTAAGTATGGGAGTAAGGATGAAGAAAGACATTTTCAAGCAGAAGAAATAACAAGTACAAATCCATTGTGAACTTTTGGTTACATATAAGTTGCAGAATAGGCCGGGCGCGGTGGCTCAAGCCTGTAATCCCAGCACTTTGGGAGGCCGAGGCGGGTGGATCATGAGGTCAAGAGATCAAGACCATCCTGGTCGAAATGGTGAAACCCCGTCTCTACCAAAGATACAAAAAATTAGCTGGGTATGGTGGCGCATGCCTGTAATCCCAGCTACTCAGGAGGCTGAGGCAGGAGAATTGCCTGAACCCAGGAGGCGGAGGTTGTGGTGAGCGGAGATCACGCCATTGCACTCCAGCCTGGGTAACAAGAGCGAAACTCCGTCTCAAAAAAGAAAAGAAAAGAAAAAAAAAAGTTGTAGAATATTTTTTTCACTCTCGTGTGAAATAATGGTAAGTTCATAGGAGTGGCATTGAATCTATATATTGTTTTGGGCAGTATAGCCATTTTAATAATGTTGATTCTTCTAATCCATGAACACGGAATGTTTTCCATTTGTTTGTGTCTTGTGTGATTTCTTTCAGCAATGTTTCATAGTTCTCCCTGTAGAAATCTTTCACCTCCTTGGTTGTATGTATTTATAGGTTTTTATTTTTTTTTTGTGGCTATTGTAAATGAGATTGTGTTCTTGATTTGGTGCTCACCTTGTACATTATTCATGAATAGAAGTGCTACTGACTTTTGTGTACTAATTTTGTATCCTAAAACTGTGCTGAAGCAGTTTTTCAGTTCCAGGAGTCTTCTGGTGGAGCCTTTAGGGTTTTTCAGGTGTTGAATCTTATTTCCATGAAGAGAGAGAATCTGACTTCTTCTTTTCCTAATTTTTATTACTGTATCTTTTTGACAGCCCTTTCTATCTCTTTCAATATTACATTGAATAGGAGTGGTGTGATTGGACATCCTTTTCTTGCTCCAGTTCTCAAGGGGAATGCTTCCAGCTTTTGCCCATTCAGTATAATGTTGGCTGTGGGTTTTTCACAGCCAGTTCTTCTTATTTGGAGATATGTTCCTTCAATGGCTAGTTTGTTAAGGCTTTTATCATAAATAAATGTTGGTTTTTATCAATAGCTCTTTCTGCATGTTAAGATGATTATATGGTTTTTGCTTTTAACTCTGTTTATGTGTCCAATCACATTTATTGATTTATGTATGGTGAACCAATCTTGCATCTCTGGAATGAAGCCTGTTTGACAATGGTGAATTAACTTTTTGATGTGCTCTTGGTTTGCTAGCATTTTGTTGAAGATTTTGCATCTATGTTCATCAAATATATTGGCCTGTAGTTTTCGCTCGCGCGCACGTGTGTGTGTGTGTGTGTGTGTGTGTGTGTGTTGTCTTTGCCAGGTTTTGGTATTGCAGTGATTCTGGCTTCACAGAATTACTTACAGAGAAATCTCTCCTCCTCATTTTTTTTGGAAAAGATTTAGTATGACTGTTGCCACCTCTTCTTAGTATGTCTGGTAGAATTAAGCTGTGAATCTATGTGGTCTGAGGTTTTGTTGTTTTGTTTTGTTGGTAGCTTTTTAATTACTGACTCAATAATTAAACTAAATGTTTGTCTGTTCCAGGTATCAATTTCTTCCTGGTTCAATCTTGAGCGATTGTCTGTTTCCAGGAACTTATTTATTTCTGCTCAATTTACTACTTGTGCACATACAGGTGTTCATAATTGTCTCTGAGGATCTTTGTAATTCTGTGGGTTCAGTTTTAAAGTCACCTTTGTCATTTCTGTTTGCTCTTATTTGAATCTTGGCTTTTTGATCTTATTAATCTAGCTGGAAGTCTATTGATCTCATTTATTGTTTCAAAAACTAACTTTTGGTTTCATTGATTTTCTGTATGGTTTTTAGTTCCATGTTTCATTTACAGAATTTGTTTCTAGTCCTTTTTTTTTTTTTTTTTTTTTTTTTGAGTTGGAGTTTTATTCTTGTCAACCAGGCTGAGTGCAATGGCAGGATTTTGGCTCACCACAACATCCACCTCCAGGTTCAGGCAATTCTCCTGCCTCAGCCTGCTGCATGGCTGGGATTACACATGCCCACCACCATGTCCAGCTAATTTTTGTATTTTATTTTTATTTTTTATTTATTATTTGTATTTCATTTTATTTTTTTTAGTAGAGACGAGGTTTCACCATGCTGTGAGGGCTGGTCTCTAACTCCTGACTTCAGGTGATCTGCCCAACTCAGCCTCCAAAGTGCTGGAATTACAGGTATGAGCCACCGCACCCAGCCATATCCTAAGACTTTATGAAGAATCTATAAGACTTGTGAGGGACAGCAAAGTCCTCCATGATAAGTCTTCTCAAACAGTTGTATGATTCTGCACAAATAATGTTACCTTGAGTGCCCATGTAAAATGGGCCCTCTTAACCCCAGCATTTAGGCTGGATTATAGGGTTGATCAGTGGGTGAATACATCAGCTATCATAAAGCCAGTCTCACATGGCTTGCATGTGAAGCCTATCAGCTGCTGCATCTGGGGTGCTGCACTTAGCATTTTATAGGGAGAATAGGGCAGTCCCCTTCCCAGGAAAAGCAGCCCTTAGAGTGGTGTTTATCCAGTCCACTAGGCTGGTCATTCTTTCTGAAATGGCCTCCTATGAATTTGGATCACATATACTCATCAGCAATTCTTTATTAGTGAGCTATGGGTCCTGCATTAACCCAAACATAATTTTTCTTTCTGTAGGATTTAAATTTAAGGTTACTAACCTTAAAGTAGTTATTTTTATAATCTTTTGTCACTAAGATTTCTCATGAGATGATGAAACCAATTTTTTAAATCCAACAATTCATTTATATTATACTCTCTGACTTTTATAGTTACTTGATTTTGCCATTACCCCAAATTGACTATCTTTTTGGTAACCATGGGTCTTTTGGTAACTTTTTGTTGTCCTGGGTTAATAGTTTTCTTTGGGGGTAGCTTTGAGGCTAGTGATCTGAGCTGAGACATTCCCACATCTGAGTTTGGTCTAGCCTGAAGGCCCAACCCAGCACTCTTTTATTTTCATTTTGGCTATGTATAAATAACAATAATGAAGTGATTTAATATTTTGCATTTTTCTTATTAGTTTGCATTCCCTTCTGCATTGGGTAAACTAATTCCCTGAGAATATGGGTATGATTCATCTCTAAATCCCGCTGGTAACTTCTACCTTTGGTAACAGAATGCAGCCCAGCTGCAGTTCCTGAAGATGAGCAACCACATGGCCACAGAAGTCAAGATTTCTTACTCCCCATCTTTTCATTTTTCTCTATATCCATTTAGTTTTTTTTCTGTATAATTTTTCCTTCATTTAAAAATGACTTAAACAGTCATTAGAAAAGAAATACATTTTTCTTTAGCCAAAAAAATACATCTTTGTGCTTTTATAAACTTCACCAGAAACACCTTTTACTCTCCTACTATTTTAACTCTTAATACTCCAATTCCTAGTGAAAAAAAAACAAGGTTACTTAATTTATTTAAGATTTTAAACTGCTGGAGATAATTTTGAGATTAAATTTTCTTTTTTTTTTTTTAGACAGAGTTTCACTGTTGTTACCCAGACTGGAGTGCAATGGCATGATCTCGGCAATTTACCCAACTAATCTTACCAAGATTACCAAAGTCATGTAAAATAAAAGGCATCTGAGTTAGCTTCTATTCGTCTGACAAGGACTGACTTTTCTTTAAGCAAATAGCTTAGAGCTCTTTCAAATAATTTGGTAGTGAAATATCACTTCCACATGACACATAGAAATATATAAATATAACAGACATACAAAGTCCAGTTCAAAAGATTTTTCATCTGGCTGCTTTGAAAAAATTTTCTCCATTACTTTAGATTATTAACAATCATTGTCAGCAAACTGACGCAAGAACAGGAAACCAAACACCACATGTTCTCACTCCTAAGTGCATGTTGAACAATGAGAACACACGGACATAGGGAGGGGAACATCGCACACCAGCGCCTGGGGGTTGCTGGTGCCAGGGAAGGAATAGCAGGGGGTGGGGGTATTAGGGAGGGATAACATTGGGAGAAATACCTAATGTAGATGATGAAGCAATGGATGCTGCCAACCACCACCATGGCACGTGTATACCTATATAACAAACCTGGACAATCTGCACATGTACCCCAGAACTTAAAGTATAACAAATAAATTTTTTAAAGAAAGAAATGTTATAGGAGCTGACAAAAGGTGAAGAAGTTATTTAGCATCTCAGGCCTTTTCAAAAGAAAGCAAGTGCTAAACTTCTGGGCTATCAATCTGAAGAAATGCAAAAGGAATGTGTCTTAAACAATCAGTCATATTATTTTAGAAGAAAAAATTCACAATATAAGA